CAGGCAGGCGGGGGCGCACAAGGCCTGGGACTGGGGGCGCCGGGGCCATGCCGGCCGCCCATCCGTCTGGCGCTGGGTCCACGATGTCCGCCTGGCGCGCCACGGCTGGAGGTGCACGGGGGGGTGGGGTGGGGGAGGACAGCCACGGGAGGGGTGCACTCCGGGCTCTGGTGGGGGAGGGAGGGCGGAAGGGGCAGGACGGGAACTCACCTCAGGCAGAGGGGCGAGGGCTAGCCGCCCCCAACAGTGCGTTCACTCGCCGCCCATGTTAGTGCTCTATGGAAGACTTCAGAGAAGAGCTGAAGAGCCCAGGGCAGCGCTAGCCAACGGCTCAATGGCAGGTTTATAAAGCATCTTCCATTCAGGCTTCCCAAAGCAGCCGAGTCCAGCACACCACTCCCACCCCGCTCTACGGCACCCACGCCCCGCCAGCACCTGCTCGGCCTGGGGGACACCACCCCACTCAGAGCAGCGAGAACCCACAAAAATCTACTCCAGCCCTGCAGACAACGAGCTGATTTGCCTTACAGCGCCATGCCCCGTTTTGCAGCAAGCTGTAGGCGAACGTGCACAGCGACGCTATGGTGAGCGCACGAGGACGTGTTCCAGGAGAGCGTGCTGACACAATTGTAGTGTTGAGAGGCCAGGGACGTCCCCGCTGAGCGGCCCGGCAGCCAGCGCAGAGGAGAGCCCTACGGCTGCCCCTGTCCAGACAACCCTGGCGTTTGCTGGGGATGCCCTCGCTGAGGCGAAGCTCGCCTACAAGGAGCGCTGGAGGCCAAGTGCCGGCACTAACTGGTACCTCCACATCCCCTCCGAGGAGCCTGAACCAGGGCCCCCCATTCCAAGCACCCCTTCCGTTCCCGGGCCGGCCCCGGCGGGGCAGTGCCGACTCACCGTTGATGTAGGTCTGCTCGTGGATCTCGGTGATGCTCAGCAGGTTGGCCCCCTGCTGCTCACAGCTGCTCCACGCCTCCCGCCAGGACAGGGTGGACTGGAAGTTGAACTGGTAGCAGCTGTTGGTCAGGTGATCCTTGTCCCAGAAGGTCTCGCAGTCGTTGCCTGTGGGGATTGATGGGAAGTGGGGCAGGGAGAGCCGGGGGTTAACTCTGACTCGTGCGCAGAGCTCCCCGGAGAGCCAGCGGCAGGCGGGCACGTGCCTCTAATGACCCGAAGTGCAGCCCCCGTTAGGCTTCCTTCTCATTACAGAGGCTGCAATTTTCTTTCAGGGACACCACAATGGCACCACTGCAGACCCAAAGGGCTGGGGCGGCCTCTGACTCTGGCCAGGTGCGAGACCATGGCAAATGCATGCAGCGTAGCAGGCAGACAACTGGCCATTACCCCCTTCTCCGAGCCAGGGTTACAAAGCATGATTAACCCTGTGCCCCGCACTGGGCACCTTGCTCTGCCAGGCATCCCTCTGACTGCCTCAGGACTCTCAGAGTTCGGGGCCAGTCGGGCTGAGGAAGGGTTGCAGAATCCAGCTGGGAATCCACCCCCTCACCAGTGCCAGGCTGGCATCCCCCACACAGCTGTCTCCCCCACCCCCTCACCAGTGCCAGGCTGGCATCCCCCACCCAGCTGTATCCCCCACCCCCTCACCAGTGCCAGGCTGGCATCCCCCACACAGCTGTATCCCCCACCCCCTCACCAGTGCCAGGCTGGCATCCCCCACACAGCTGTATCCCCCACCCCTCACCAGTGCCAGGCTGGTATCCCCACACAGCTGTATCCCCACCCCTCACCAGTGCCAGACTGG